TTAGCATGATGTCCCATGACCCACGATTTAAAAAAAAAAATTTGATTGTATATTGTCTTTGAAAATAGTTTTACTACCTCTTTTTAGAGAGAATGTCTTGATGACTTTCCTAGGAGTTACATAAAATTCTATTTATTGGTAGAAAAACCATCATAACTTTGCATCTGAATTATACTAAATTGCACCTGTCTTGTTTTCTTTTCCAGGCCCCCAGCGTGTCATTGTGTATCTCCATCCTGAAACAACACAGCTCTCGTTTAGAGGCTGGCAAACTGACCATCTCATTGTGTGACACACTGTCCTCTCACCTGCAACCCATTTCACCAGGAGTGCCCAACCCAGAGATTGACTACAGTCTCATAATCAGGTTTGTATGTGGTGTTTATTGTCTAGTAGTTCGGTTACCGGGCTCATAATTGTGAGGTTGCACATTTGGGGGTTCGAACCTCAGGCCCGATGTTGTGTTCTTGTGAGAGGCACTTTACATAAATTTTCCTCTCTTCACCCAGGGGTTAATGGGTACCTGGCTATAGACAGCAAAAAATCTCTTCAGTGTGTCAGTGTTTTAGCGCCTAAAAAATGGCAGCTTGCACTGCTTGCTGCAGCGGAAGTTGAGATTCAGAATGCTAATAGGTCTGCTGGGGTAATAATATAGACTGTAAAGTGTATAGAGCTTGCTGTTGAGTGGGAATTTGCACTATAAAAATACTCTGTATTTATTTATTTTATTAGTCTTGCATATTTCTCCATATTTTCTTTAGAACAGAACCTGTCATATTTTGAAAGGCACACTAGGAGAACCCATGTTAGATGCATAAGACGCCAATGTAGAAACCAATGCCTTTTGACAGCTTGAAGACTATATTCTTAGTAATCGTTGTGTCACATCCTCCTAAAAAGTTGACAGCAAAAAGTATGCCATGTCAATGTTCCCTTCCAGGAGGTCAGTTTCACGAATAGGATACTAGTGTTCCTTCACATTTATCTGATGGATGGAGCCTTGGTCATTTTTTGGGTAGCGTAACTCAAGGTGAATGATAAAAAGTTTTGAATATTTGGTCTGTGTTTCTTACTGAATTTTTGTTGTTTTCCCCAGCGTAATGAAACAGCTCCTGTTCCAGGCGAAACTGGACTTCCTCTCCAGCAGCAGCACGGGAATGTCGGAGCAGTGCGAGCTGTACTTGGCCCGGGTCGATCTCCTGCGGGTCATGGTGGAGGCCAACTACCAGGACCTGCCCACCGTGAGGGAGCTGACCAAGCAGGACACTGTCAGGTGAGGAAAGAAAAACACATGCTGGTTTTTTTTAGAGAGTTACACATATAGTCTATTATTCCATTAGGTGAGGAAAGTGGATGGTTGGCGGGTGCTCTGGTGTGGTTTGCTTCTTCTTTTCTATCAAACATCTGTCGTCCTTATCTCTCCTCCTTTTTTATGTGTGTTACTCTCTTGTAACACCTCTAGTCTTCGGCACTTATATGACCTTATTGTGTTGCAAGTGCCGTAAAACACTTACTAAAACTAAAACTAAGGCGAGGAAAGGACAAAGCATGTAGTCTTGTCTTCTCTGAGGTATGGATACAATATTGCATTGTATTCCGTCAGGTGAGGTAAAAGTTAAACTTGTAGTCTTTACAACTTCTATTCCTTCAGGTGAAGAAAGGGTTGAACATAAGGTTATGTATTCCATTGTGTGAGGAAAGAGTTACGCATGGAGTTGTATATTCCCTCCGATGACAAAAGGGTTAAATATGTAGTCTTGCCTACTTGTATTCCCTTCCCTCAGGTGAAGAAAGGGTTAAACATGTAATCTTGTATTCCATCAAGTGAGGAAAGGGCAAAGCATGTAGTCTTGCATTCCATCAAGTGAGGAAAGGGCAAAGCATGTAGTCTTTTATTCTCTAATGTGAGGATAGGGTTACAATATTGCATTGTATTCCGTCATGTAAAGTAAAGGTTAAACATATAGTCTTTACACCTCTATTCCCTCAGGGGAAGAAAGAGTTAAACATAAGGTTATGTATTCCATCGTGTGAGGAAAGGGTTACACGTGGAGTTTTGTATTCCTTCAGATGACAAAAGGGTTAAACATGTAGTCTTGACTACTTGTATTCCCTCAGGTGAGGAAAGGGTTAAACATGTTGTCTTGTATCCATCAGGTGAAGAAAGGGTTAAACATATGTAATCTTGTATTCTCTCAGGTGAGGAAAGGGTTAAACGTGTAGTCTTGTATTTCATCGGGTAAGGAAGGGGTTAAACATGTAGTCTTGTATTTCATCAGGTGAGGAAAGGGTTAAACATGTAGTGTTGACTCCTTGTATTCCTCAGGTAAGGAAAGGATTACACATGTTATCTTTTATTTCCTTCAATGAACAATTCATGTTCAGTGGAACCTGCTCCAATGGCCACCAGTCCAAATCAATCATCTGTACAAACTACCACTCCCCC